CCATATAATTCTGGAGAAGTATTATTAGTTAGACAAGTTGCTGGATATTTATTTCTTAACAATTATTATAGCGCCTATAGAGTATTTAATTCTACTCCATCTACTGCTCAAGTATATAGTACATTATTTACTAATTGGCAGTATAAAAACAAAGATGGCTATTATAAATATAGACTTAAATATAAAATTAATGGTGTATGGAATAGTATTATATTTAAACAAGCATTCCTTCCAATGATGTCGATGCATTACCAAAATATTGCACAACTCATATCAACAGATACACCATTTGGATGTACAGAATTAGGACAAGGATTTTGCGGTTTAAATTTGACAACTACAAAAAGCATGATGAATTCTGGAGCAGTACTTACACTAGATACAAGTGGTGGTTATTGGGCACCTGTATGTCAAAATATGAGCTATGTATATAATGGACAACCTGCTATGCCTATATTTGATAATTATATACAAAATAGTACTCTTCCATTTGTAGCAACAGAACTAGAATTATACGCTATAAGAGATCCTATATAATATTGTTAAGACAATTCTACTACGCATAAGCACTACTACGCGTAAGTAAATCCAGCGCATGCGCATTAAAAAAATAAAAAATTTTGAAAATGATTTAAATAATTTTCTTTTATATATAAAAAGAATGGAAAATAATATTAAAGAATTATTAAAATCAATAAATGAAAGATTAAGATTAGTTGAAGAAAAATTAAATATTAATATTCATGATATTGAAATGACTGAAGATTCTGAAGTTACTACAGTTACTACTGAAGTTACTGAAATTACAGAAACTACTGAATATGTTAATGAAGATGATGAAGATGAAGATGATGAAGATGATGAAGATGATGAAGAAATATTAAAATATGTACATGAATTAGGGTATAAAAGTACAAATGATGCTTTTGAAAATGCTGCTGAAAATGGAAATCTTGAAATTATTAAACATTTACATGAATTAGGGTATAAAGGAAAAGGACCGGCAGTTGATTTTGGATATGAATCAGGGTATAAAGTTACAGAATATGCAATTGATAAAGCTGCTGAAAATGGTCACCTTGAAATGTTAAAATATTTACATGAATTAGGGTATAGAGGAACAGAATTAGCAATTAATAGCGCTGCAGAAAATGGACATCTTAAAATATTAAAATATCTTCATAAAAACGGGTATAAAGGAGCAGAAGATGCAGTTAATAATGCTGCAATGAATGGACATCTTAAAGTATTAAAATATCTTCATAAAAACGGGTATATAGGTACAGAATATGCATTTAATTGTGCAGTAAATAACCAGATAAGCGAAGAATCAGATAATAACCTTGAAATTATTAAATATTTACATAAATTAGGGTATAAAGGTTCAAAATCGTTTTATAATTTAGCTGTAGAAAATGGATATATTTAATAATTTTGATACACGTAGTGATTATAAATTCTAGTAGTGATAAAGCAAACCAATGCTACTACTACACATAAGCGCTACTACGCGTAAGTAAATCTTAGCGCATGCGCATTAAAAAAAAATAAAAAAATTGAAAATGATTTAAATAATTTTCTTGTGTATATAAAAAAGAATGAATCAAGAAAATAATATTGAAAATAATAAATTTTTAATAAAACCTTCAACTCAAATATATTATATTACTGCAATATTAAAAAAATATAGGTATAAACACGGTAATAAGGTTGATTTTGCTGAAAGTATAGGTAAACTTGATTTAATTAAATTATTAAATCAATTAGGGTATAGAGGAACAGAATTAGCAATTGATAGCGCTGCAGAAAATGGACACCTTGAAGTAATTAAATATTTACATGAATTAGGGTATAAAGGAACAAATTGGTCAATTATTTATGCTGCAGAAAATGGTCACCTTAAAGTAGTAAAATATTTACATGAATTAGGGTATAAAAGTACAAATGATGCAATTAATAATGCTGCAGAAAATGGTCATCTTGAAGTTGTAAAGTATTTACATGAAAAAGGATATAGATGTTTAAATTGGGTATTTGATTATGCTGCTGAAAATGGTCATCTTGAAGTTGTAAAGTATTTACATGAATTAGGGTATAAAGGTTCTAAATGGGTAATTAATTGTGCTGCAGAAAATGGTCACCTTGAAATTGTAAAGTATTTACATGAAAAAGGATATAAATAAGAAGCAAGAAAGTCACGTGACGTCATTTTAAGAATTTTTCATAATATTTCATAACAAGAAATAAAATTTAACACTTATTTTAAAAAATCAATTTTTTTTAAAATAAAAAATTATTTCTTATCTAAATAAATTATACACAACATGGTTCAATGTTAACCTCAATATTAATATTAATTTATGGTTGAAAATTTGGTTGAAAATAAAAAATGTCTGTGAATTGGGATTTTCTTACTACTCTCCACATAACGTCAAGCCAGAAAACAGAAATATCTTAAATATTGCATAGTGCTGAATCAAAATACCACGTGTGAAAAAAAGAATGCGTAGTCTGTTCCCTCAGTATTTTTTATTTATTTGAATTTTTATGCTATATTTTTCTATACAATCTTGTGATAGTTGCATGGTTTGTTGCAACTCTGTCACTTATTGTATTAGTTATATTTCCAATAATAGTGTTTCGTACATCAGGGTATTGTAACTGGTAAAAGTCACTATATAACTCGGCAAGATTATCAATAGACTTTGTAATGTGACTCTGATAATCAAAACCTCCAGGAAGTTGTTCAATAGCTACAACCATGCATACTGATTCGGTTGTCAAGTGCATAACATTAACATGAACACCGTCCTGAGGTGTCGCATCAAATCCAATTGTCAGATTTTTTTTGAAAAATCTCGCAGTCTGTAAGTCTGATATGACACCTAGCTCACACATAATTTGTTCCACAGTAGTGTGATGCGGAATGTGACTAAATTGATAGCCAGTGTGTTCATCAATTTTTTGGAGAAGATTTGGCACACTATGTGTAGGTACTTGGCACACAAGCATCTCATAGATAAGCAACCTAATATCTGCTAGGTAGATTTATTCATTTTTGGTGGTTGTTTTTACTTGATGCATTTGCTCCAGCTCCTTCTGTAAAACCAGTATATATATTTGGCCTGCAAAAACCTTGTTGCATATATCTATGAAAAAGTTTTGTTGCATATATCTATAAAAAATTTCTCAAAAAATTCCGTGCATATAACTTGGATGTATTCACTAGATGCACAATCTGATTTTGACAAATTTTAAGGTTAAAAAGCTTATTGACTAGTTCTTCAGTTTTTAAACGATTTGCAATCAGTTGTAAATATATACAGTACATGCCCATTTTTACATTCAATATTTAATTGAGCAGGCAATGCAAAGTTACAAGCTAAATAAATTTTGGCCTCACCATAAAATAAACACCTACTCTTTTTAGGACCCATGATTCACTAAATAAAATAGCTGTAATCATTCACTTAGGTCAGCTACTAATCACAACCACTAACTATATACAAAAAATAATTACTTGAAGAATGTACATGAAGAATGTACATAAGAAAAAAATAATTACTTAAAATATTTAATAAAATACATTAAAAGTATGTTATTAATAATTTCTAAAGTTATTATTAAGTTCATAAAGTAAATTATCTGGTAATAGGTTCATAAAATAACATGTACCAATTAGCTGGACATTTTAATAATACTTTTTAAATGTACGTACATTTAAAGTATATTATTAATTATCTCCACTTAACTGGTTAATAAGCCTTTTCTACTAGTATTATAGGTATGAATATAGATATTATCATTAAATGACTTATACCAATTTCCACTTAATTTATATAGTATCATAAGGTAACTTTATTAATTAAATGGATATTTTTAATATTACTAGTAAAAAAAATTCTGTTTTTTAACAAATTATTATTGCACAACACTTTTAAAGAAATTTATATGAAAACACTTTTTTCAACATATTTTTAAAATAAAAAGTCAATAATACTAAGTGTTCATAACCGTGACACACGTGCCTCCCAAGTCACAATAAAAAGCATAATATTGGGTACCTCCAGAGAATGCAAAAATAGAGTATGAGAGTGCAAGTATTTTTACTTTCGGCGGGTGCGTTGAAAATTAAATGATCATATTACAAAACGATGTAGAAAATTAAATGATCATATTACAAAACAATGTAGAAAATTAAATGATCATATTACAAAAATAAATAACATGCCTTTAATATTAATTCACTTCCACAACAAGAACAAAGTTTTTAATTCCAATAAAATTATTGAAAAATATTGTAACTGCAAATAAACAACAATCATATAACAAACTTTAAACCTTCTACTTTTAAAATAAAGTCTAAAATTGATATAAGATTCCAAAAAATAATGTAACAAAACTCATCCTTATGACACCTATGCCAAAGCGCTCTGTGAAAAAGTAGGTCACAGATTTTTACTTTAAAATTGGTGCCGTAAAACCCAGATACTCACGTACATACTTACTTCAATATTTTGATCAATTCTTTGTCAACCATGATTAAAGTAATAGCAGCGATAAGTGCATTCTAGAATGAACTTATTAGATTCTAAGAAAAGTGTGGTGCCTTTTTCGTTTTTCTTGCGTCCACTTCTATGGGTGCAAATATTTTTCATATAAAATGTAGTCATATAACATGCAGTCAGTTGTTAAAAAAAAAGGCATGCTATTTATTTAAAAAAAATAAAAATCTGAAACTAAAATAGAAACTGTGAATATAAAAAGAGGCATTTCAGTTTTTATGCTTCATTCATACCTATGTAAAATAAAAAGCACACACTCCTTTAAAATCTCTTTTATTCTACAAACTTTCTCATGTAAATAAAGATTTGGATTTTAGTTGCTTGCTTGATTTATTTTGGTTCAGTGGGCGCTAAAGTTAATAAAAAAAATTAAAAAGGTTTTTTATATAGATTTGTTGGTGTTTTGATTCATAATTTTATTTGTTTAATTTTTAGGAAAATAAAAAAAAAAGAAAACGAAAATCGTCTAATACTCAGCAAAAACAAATTAAAAAGAAGTTAATTAATGTTACACCTTCAGTTAAAAAGGCAAGCACATCTATAAATGTTACACCTTCAGAAAAAATGAACCAATCAATTGATAAAGCACAAACTGTTCTAGCTAAATTTGCTTCTTCAGTAAGTTTTGTATTTGTTTTGCTTTTTTTATTATTTATGTTTTACTGCTTAATATATTAATATCTTTATATATTAATACTAAATATAGTCAATCTTTAGATACTATTACTTGGTATAATCAATCTTTTTGGGTTATTAGTTTAACTGGTTTAGTTTCATTTAGAGTTAAATTATGCAAATAGTCAAAATAAAATGTTTGTTATAGTTTTTAAATCTTTCTGACTTATTGTTTGTATTTGTCTAAAGTGTGCAATTTGTAAGAAAAAACTTTTTACTTACTTGAAAAGACTCCGATGAAAGACCACAGACCAAATTTGTATTTGAGGATTTTTAAAATTACCATTGAGCCAATTCTTAAAACATCACACTGTTTTTTAGTAGAATGAAGATTTTATTTTGAAATTAATACTTATTATAAGTGTTATAGATAAGGCTGCTGCTTTTATATTCTGATATGTACATCATATGATAAAAATGTACATCATAAAAAAAATATTGTTATATTGTTTGTAATATAACTTGACAATTTGCTTTGTGAATTTATGTGAGATAATTTTTCTTATATTTATATTATATTTTTCTTATACTTGTTTAAAATATTTATGATTTAATGTTGTTTTTATGTATTAAAAAAAAATTTGTATTAAAGTTCTTTTTTGTTTTTGATAATATGAAATTGTTTACTTGATGCATTAACTTTGTTTTAAATACAGTAAAGTATAATGAGATGTTAATAATTTAATTTTATATAATTGGTCTTGAATTAGTTTTATTAATTAATTGAATTAAACAATCAAAAAATTCCATATTTGATACTTATTTATCTTAAGTTCTTGCTTATGTAGTTTTAATGGAGTCACATAAAATCCATTCCAATTTCATGGAGTAGATTTCAGTTACTTTCATAAAGGATTAGTCATGCCATGTCAGCAATTTTTTGTGTGTGCTTATTTGTGTGTGTTTACATAGAACTTATAATAGTGAACATTTTAGTAATTTTTTAAAGAGTTGTTTTTTTTTTTTTTTTTTTTTTTTTTTTATAAAATATTGATGTGTATAAAAATATTATCGGAATGTGTTGATTGTGTATATTGTGTACTAAATTTTTTATCTTTTATTGTAGCACAATAAAGGAAAAAAAAATGTATTGGATTGTGTTGCAATGCATTTTTAATTGACAGGGCTTGAATTAAGCGTGTTGTGATTGCAAATCACAATTGCTTTTCACTCCTTCACAATTAGTTTTTTCTTTAAAAAGTTATTTTTGCGATTTGTTTTGTTTGCTTATTTTTCTTTTCTTATTTAGCATTTTTTTTGGCCATTGTTAAAAATAATGTTTTTGTCTGAGTTTTTTATTAGGAGTCATGAAGTTAAATTTTTTTGTCACGTTAAATTTTTTTGATTGGAAGTATGATCTTTGCTCTCTTGCGGAGATTATTAATTAACATTGCTTAACATTGCATTAAAATTGCTTTTGAATTTAAATTACTTTAAATCTTTGCGTGGAAGCCAATAATTTTTTAAAGTTATAAGTTGATTTACTGAATGGATAGCACTGAAGTTACTGAAGTTCATCACAGTAAATTTACCTTTGCACTAAATCAAAACAACCAGTTAAGTTTTTACAGTAGCTTTCAGTTACTAACCTATTAAATTTACTTAATATACTCAAAGACTTGCAAAAGTTAACCATACAAATGTTTCTGTTTATATCTTATATGTTGTTCATACATAGTAAAAGATTCTAACTAAAATTTATTTTAACAAGAAAATTTCAAATAGAATAATACCCAGTGGCATAGTGAGGATCTCTCTTGAAAGTCAAATGTATACCTATACTACAAATGTATCTCTAACTACAGTAACAATATTAGATTGAGAAAATTGTGCAAATGAGAATGAAAGTTTTATTTATACTGTTAAAAATATATTCCGGAAAAAACCTGTATTAATAATTTCCCGTTTTTTTATCAATTTATTGTTCATCCAAAAAATATTTAAAGGTACCGGTATGTTATCTAATTGTAAAATGCAAATCGATTTTGTAATTTAATTTAATAGAAATAAAATTTCTAGCTATGAAAGTGTATACAGAATCTGTCCAAGAGGTAAATTGATTTTCACCGAAAAAGATGTAGAAGTTAACGCAAAATACTAACTAGAAGTAGTGATGGAGAAAAACGCGCTTCCGAACACCAAAAAATTGTATGGAGAAGATTACTACTGCTTCCAACAAGATGGAGCCCCTTCTCATACGGTTAACATTACTCAGGCTTGGTGCAAGGAAAGTTTGACTGATTTTTTAACCAAAGAAGAATGGCCTCCAAGCTCACCAAACTGCAATCCACTTGATTATTTTGTATGGTCTTCATGTTAGCTAATCTTAACGATTATAAGATTTCAAAATTGGAGCAGTTTAAGAAAGTTATTAGCAAAATTTGGGACAAAATGCCGTTGGAAACTGTGTGTGTCGTGTGCAATGATTTTGAAAGAAAATTGAAAATGGTCATCAAGATTAAAGGGAATATTATTCCAAAATATTTACTATAATTTATGCAGTATTATGTCAACTTTTAATTTCTAAATAAAGTTTTTTGAAATATTGTTTTAAAAAAAAGATATATATATTTTTGTTTGTACCAAAACATATTTGTCAAGGTGTAAATCATAAACATTTTGAATACTTTATTATTTTTTGTTTCTTGAAAATAGTTTTTAAAGTGAAACATTCTATTGCAAACATTAAACCAAAAATTAAGTTATATTATATTACATTTAAAAAAAAATAAATTGTTACTTCTGTTTAAAGAAATTTTTTTCTAAAAAAATAATTTAAGCATATACTTGAGGATATATTTATTATAACTTATTAACTTGAGGATATATTTATTAAACCAAATTTTTTTTCCTTAACTTTTTATTAAACAACCTTTTTTATTTATAAAACCAAATTTTTTTTCTTTTGCTTTTTATTGCAAAATAGTTTGAATGAAAAATTGAACAAAAACATTAACTTGAAATCCGTTTAAATAAAAAAAATTAATTATACTTAAATTTTTAATAGTATGCTTGATCAAGAAATAGTAAATTATAAAAAACATGGTATATTTTTTTTTCTTTGTTTGGTACAAGTCTATAGATTATAGACTTGTATGGTCTATAGGCATGTTTTTTCACAAATATGAAGTTTAAAGTTTTATAACGATATTGTTTTAATTTAGTAGTATTATAATTAGAACAATTCTATTTATTTACTTCATTTTATTTTAAATGCGTTTTTTGTTATTAATGTTATAAATTGTATAAAACAGCAATAAAAAAGTTAATTTACAGTAACAATTTAGTCATGAAGTTAATTTACATTAACACAAGCTCTTTATATTGTTAAAACAGTTTTCAGTTTATGTTATTGTTGTTTTAGAACTTTTTATGTGTTTTATTGTCAGCATTAAATACTTTTCTATAACTAAATAAAATGGTTTAAATATTGTAATTTTTGCTTTTTTGTTTTTAATTAAATGGGTTACTTGCTCATTACATTATAACTTGCTCATTATATAACTGCAACTTAACCTTTAAATTGTAATTGTAACTTATAATCTGTAAGTTATAACGGTAATTTACCCTATTTTAAACTCTGCCAAATGAAAAAATTAAGATAATATTTTAATATAAGAGATATTACGTTAAAAAATAACAATTACAAACTAATGTAGAAAAGATACAATTTTATACTACGAACCCCTTTCCCTATTACCGTAAAGTGGGTCTAGTAATAAGTTGGCGGGGGGGGGGGTGGATAGGATTATTTTTTTTTGCAATTAGATTTTTTTTGCATTAATTCAAGCCCTTATTTAGTTTTTTTTAATAGACATTAATGTTTAAAAAAATTAAAAAAAAAAAAGATTATAAAGATGAATTTACTATTGATAAAAATATTTTTAGTCATTTTGTCATTTTGTTGTTTTTTAGTGTTAAATCATCTTCGTATAATGTTTCTTTATCATATACCATTAATTTAGAAACAACTGTTTGTGTATCATTTAGAGCCTTTACTTATTTGTTTAAATTTTTTTTTTACACTTAGGGTCAATCAACACCAGCTGCATCTGTAACATCAGCAGAGGTGTTAGATTTAGAAGGAAAAGATTATCTTCATTTAACACTTCCTTTTCTGAAAGATGGTCAACGAATGGACAAAAATAAAAAGTTACACACAGATCCTGACTATGACAAGCGTACACTATATGTAAGATTTAAAAGAAAATTTATTTTATCTGTACCAAAAGCTTCTTTAGAAAACCTGTACACACCTCAATTAAATGATTAATTTTATTACATGTATAAAAACTTAGAAGAGAAACACACACTTCTTTTATTTAGTTTATTTGTTTTTAATAATTGAGTTGTTTATTTTGAAAATGGCATAAGTCACCTTTTCAAAAAAATCAAGTTATTGATAACAATGATTACAATGTAACAGTACCTCTTCATTTGTGAAATAATTTTAGCCAATGGTATTTCTTGTTAAATAATTTAAACCAATGGTATTTCTTGTTAAATAATTTAAACCAATTGTGTTGAAAATTGAGAAATTTTGGAATTAAGTTTTTCTGGTTAACGGTGTAACAAACATGTTAAAACACAAACCTTTAAAATTCTCTGTTTAAAAAAAAATGTCTTATGCCACTTTCAAAATAAATGGCTCTATTTTTAATAAACGAGACTGGGCTCTATTATTGTATTTAAGTCATATTTTTTAAAGGTTTAATAAAGAAAAGAAAGATTATTTTAATTTATTTTTAAAATGTTATTTGTGAGTTGCAAAGTATTGTTAGGTGAACTTTTGCAAATCCTTGAAAATAAAACATTTCCTATATGTATTATAAATCTTTAAGTCAAATCATTCCTCAATTTAATAAAAAAAAGTTATAGTGAAATAATTAAAAAGATTTGAGAAGAATTGATAGTGAAATAATTAAAAAATAGAATTAATTGCAAGTTTTTGACATTTTAAACACTTTTTTTCTTAAAAAGCAGTTTAAACTTTACCCTATCTCTGATGGTGTTTTAAAATTTTTCTTTTTACAGAACATTAGTGCATAACGTTTTTCATCATTACACTACAAGAAATCATAATTTTTTTTTATAACATATTAAGAATGATGTGATTTTTTTTAAGCCCAAAAATCTTTCAAATAAAGAGAAATAAAAAACTTAAATTTTTCACGTTATTTTTTTTTTTGTTGCAACATTTCTTAATAACATGAAAATATTAATGTCAATGATTTTCATAAGTATCTTTTACATAACATAAAGTCTAAAATTATCTTTATTATCATTACAGACTAAAATACAATCTAAATCATCTTTGCTACTAGCCTCAAATATACTTAAAGAAATCAATCGGATATGATTGATTGTTCTTAGATAGTAATCTACTTGCTAACAATAACATGGTTCTATTTTGAATTAGATGGATGTGATGATGCAAGGGCTTTTGCTCTTACAAATTAACAGCTTTTCATTAAGTCTGACATACTGGTTTTCTGCATGGTGTATTTGTTTAAGCTTTTAAAGTTATTGAATCATTCCATTTTTATTGTACTATTAAAGTTGTTCTTGACAACACTCCTTTAACAAAACCGCAAACACAAACTTAATTTTTGTCAATTCTTGGGTACCACAATGATTCCATCCTTGGATCCTTGTTGTTTCTCATCTATATTTATGATCTCCCTGATAATGATAAATCTGTATAGCTCTCTTTAATGATGATGTAACTATATACTCCAGTCTTAACATTCTCTACTTTACCATTTCTCACATTATCCTTCATTACTGACCTCTCACGAAAACCATACAGTCCATTATAAAATTAAAATCTGTTGAGGTTTCTTTAGTATGCTTACCATTTTCTTACACCTGATTTCATGAATATGTAAGATCATTTTAATGAAACTCAAAACATATTTCATTCATCTAGTTTTTAACCTTTGAACATCAATGCTTTATAATTTTTTTCCTGTTATTATTTTACAGTATCATTTCTATTGTTTTCTTGATCTTAAACTCTCCTCTTTGCTTTCTATCAGTTGGTTGAAAATTTGGTTTGAAGAAAAGTTAATAATTTTTTTTTTCTACAAACTACAGCTAAAACCACAGATAGGATTTGAAAATCACTGGAGCCAATTTATATAAAAGCTATGAAAATTCAAAGTATGCTCGTAGTAAAAGATTTTTTCTTTTGCAGTCTTAAACAGTCACTTTTTGAATAATATCTAATTCTTATTTTACTTATAATTGTAAATAAAAATTGTATATATTTATATATAATAACTATTTTACTTATTGTTGTATATAATAATTATATATAATATTTATATATTTTTATTCTTTAGGTTCCTGATTCTTATCTTCAATCAAAAGAAATGTCACCTGTAAGATTTTTTTTTTAAGAATAATAGTTTTTGTTATCAATAAAATAATAATAAGATAATACATACTATCTACTTACCAACATACATGCATACATACATACATACATACATACATACATACATACATACATACATACATACATACATACATACATACATACATACATACATACATACATACATACATACACACATACATGAAAAGTTAGTTTTATAACACTGTTGGTGTTATAAAATGTTTATCTATTGCAAAGCTTGCTTCAAGAACTTTATTTTATCTTTAATGCAATCTCTGCTAAAATTTGATTTATAATAAATGCTGCCTTCTCAATAATTTTGGTTATAGGATATTGAAAATTGTGAAAATATCTTGGTTTTTTTATAGATAAATTTATTATTTTTTTCTATATTATAAACATCAGTTGTTAAAATGATACACATTAGCAAAAAGTAAAAAGTTCTTTTACCTTTTCAGAATTTCATAGGCTTTTATCTATATAATAAATTCAATGAATTTATTTCCCCATTTATTAAATAACAACAACATAACAATGGCATAGATTTGGTAATATGTTGTAGATATATTGATAAAAGTTTGTAAAATTTTATACTCAATCTATTGCTTACACTTTCTTAGAAATCTGATTTCTCATCTCTTGTTAAACTTAGAGCATTAGTCAAAAAATTCTTTTTAACTACATTATAAAAAATATTCTTTAAAAATATTATTTTTTAAAAATAAATGTTTTATTTTAGCATTAGTTTTATTTGAACAAATTTAAATAAAAGTTTTCGTCATTTCTTTGCTTAGAAATACTGTAATAAAATTTCAGAAAAAAGCTCTGTTAAGCTTAATGGAGATATGTGGTTCAGATGTAGAAATATGGCTGCAGATCATCAAAACTATAAATTTTTGTAATTTTTCTTTTAATCAAAACATTTTTCCTTGAGTAGATTATATAGAACTATTGAAACTGGTTTTTATGTAGTTATGTTCTTAAAAGGTTTTTGAATTTAAGCTCCAGGATGATTGTCTTATTATCTCTTGATTTAGATATAGAGTTCGCAGGTTCTTTATGAATTGACAGATTTAATTATTTGACTATTAAAAGAAAAAAGTGGATGCAATAGCAGGATTCAATTTTTATTCTGTCTGTTTTTAAAAACTTTTTTTTTTTTAATATATTTATTTATTTTTTTGGCCTTACCTTTCCAAAATATAGGAGGCTATTGACAAAAGTCAAAGTACAATGAAAACATAAAACAATATGTTCTGCATTTTGAAACAATTTTTAATGTAATTAATGCCTTAACGGTTTCAATAGAATCCCACTCATTTTGATGAAACCTCATATTTGTTAAACTTTGCTTAACAGGATGATAAACTTTTATTAAACAATATAAAGGAGTATGTTACCAGTCTAATATTTTTATTCATTTATTTGATGCCAATCTTGCAGTAGTTTACTACGTTCCTGAAAGAATTTAAACTTCATTAACAATGTTCACAATAGAAATTATCAGCAGAAGCTACTGCTTGCTATTCACTAAAAAAGAAAAAGTATTTATTGGACAAATGCTAAGAAATATTTGCAGTTTGCGTGTGATGCAATTGCAAACTAAAAAGTATAGTTAATAAATACAATTTATTTAATACTAAAATGCTGAAGCTTAACTTTTTAATATAAGCTGGATAATACTTGAACATATCAGGCTTGGTCGGGAAGCGGATGTGATTTGAAATATTTCTTAGCATTTGTCCAATAAATACTTTTTCTTTTTTAGTGAATATCAAGCAGTAGCTTCTGCTGATAATTTCTATTGTGAACATTGTTAATGAAGTTTAAATTCTTTCAGGAACTCAAAGCTGACCACGGAAATAATATTTAGTTGCAAAATACCGGCCAGATTTTTTAGTCGTTTTGAGAACATTTAAGTTTATGTATGTTTCCTTGTTTTTCCGCAAAATAATAAGTTCATTTTATCGTAAATTTTAAAATTATTTGTTTTACGGACTTACATGGAAACATACATAAACTTGAATGTTCTCAAACATCTTAGTGCGGAAAAATAAAAAAAGAATATTCACGAATAACCCGCCAAATCTACGAGCAACTAATTCTATTGGTTCAAAAAATACTAACCAAAATTTCTATAGAATTCAAAAAATACTAACCGAATGTCCTGAGGATTCGGTTGAAATATTTTTAAAAATTGTATTATTTGAATTTTGTTACGTTTTCGTTGAGATTTCTAGCATAAATTATTTTAAGAATATACTATCAAACGAAGTATTATTTTAATTCATGGAGCCACATCGACAAAGCTGTAAATGTTTTAAACTTACATTGTTTGTTTACAATAATAAATGTTTTAAATTTATATTTTTTAACTTGTCAACGTTTTGTAAATATATTATAGATTTTATTAGTATATTCTTATTTTTTACATATAAGGAATAAATTTTTTATGTATGTAATGTATTTTTATGTATGTAATGTATTTTTATGTATGTAATGCAATTTTGTGTATGTGTATTTTATTCAAATGTAATCTTTTAAAGCAATTTGTGCGATTGATTTTGTAAACAAAAATACTTTCAATAATAATTGCGTTTTCAATGAAATTATTAATTATCGTCTAAGTTAATACTTATAATTTTAACCACTAATCCATTTTCCTCAGTGTACCTGATAACTGATTCTTTCCCCCAAGAAAGAAAAGTATTTAAGTTCTTAGAAATTGGTTTACTAACTTTAATTATTTTTACTTCAGCCATTCTTACAAACTCGTTATACTTAAAATTACTTTTTTTTGTTTTAAATACTATAAAGCCCACTCACTAAACATCATCAGCTGTATTTTTAATCCATTTCCGCTTCCTCCTCACAAAATAATTTAAAGTTTTTAGTTAATTTCTATCTAGCTAATTGAATTTCTACAATAACTAAATGATATAATTATTTCATTTGCTCATCTTACTAAAAAGAATTGTTACAAATGTGTTAAACTTTTTAAACATTTGTTGAAAAAACTTTTTTATTTATAAATAAATCATCTAGTGTTAGTTTTATTGGTTGAATCTTGTTGGACTTTTCAGAACCGGGGAGGCATTATTTTGGCGGCCTATTTAATGTGCCACAGCGTAAAAATGACTAAAAAAAATACCGAATGGTCCTCTTGACTATTTCCCCTAACATTATGAGTCCCATTAAGAGTATATATAATAAAAATTACATATACTCTTTGATAAATCAAAGAACATTTGTTTCTTTATAGTTGTAACTTTATATAAAAAATCTCATTTAATTTTATTGAAAAATTATAAAAGAGCGGCGTTTCAAAAATAATAGTTCTAATAACTTTATTCAAAGTTTTTTCGTGTTAAAAGCTATTTTTCTTTTTTTAACTATCTCTCATCAGTCCAGAAAATCTTAATGCGCTTTTTAGTTTGTTTTTGAATGTTCTCAAAACAACTAAAAAATCTGGCCGGTTTTTTGCAACTAAATATTATTTCCGTGGTCAATTATCGAGTGCGATCACACCCGCTTCCCAACCAAGCCTGACATATCCTGATTTAGATTTATTTTCTTTTTTACCTTTAAAATTTCTACTGCAATACAAAGTGAACCAATAAAATGTCTCTGTTATACTTGCTAATCTTGAGGCAGCCACACTAATAAAAGTAATAACAACATCCCTTCATTATGTAAAGTAAAAACAACAACATCCCCTCAAACCATATTGCACTATTTTTTATTAAGATTTTTTAATATAAAATTGTAAAAAATGTAAACAAAATTTTTTTTTTATGCTTTTAAGGTTTGTGTTTATGGCAGATTACTTTCAAGGATCAAAATTATTTTTAAAGACCTTTACAAGACCTCTCTTGACAGTAATATAAAGACTTTGCAAGTCATAATTTGTTCTAAATTGTTTTTTATGTCACTAAGAAATAGCAAACCGTTCTATGAGTGAAAAACTGTCTTATGCCAATTTCTAAAGATCCTTTAGACTTTTTATATAACTTTTGTAACATGTTCCTTTTCTGTAATTATTCAAGCTAATAAATACTATTTCAAAGAATTAGCAACATTTTAGAATTAGTTTCTAGGTCACTACCAGGCATAGGAAATACCTAACATATTTTACCCTAAATTGAGCCAACAGGGATCCTAAAAATTATCCAAAAGAATTTTTTTTTGTTGGTTGTATACACACACACACACACACACACACACACACACACACACACACACACACACACACACACACATGTTCAGTGTTATTTACATCAATTGATTTTTCTTCAAAATGGAAATGTTTTTATAGCACTTGATTTTATTTAAAGATTACATAAACCTTTTTTATTGAACATTTATTTTATGAATTCAGACTTGATAAAAACAACTTATAAATATTAAAAAGTATAGCAATATATATAGTAAAAAAATCATCTTGTTTAAATAAATACAAAATAATAAAAATTAGTAAATATATACCATTTTAAAGAATTTTTAATATTGCTTTATTTTTACTATTCAGGGAATGAAACAATGGTGGTTGTTGAAAAAAGATCTGTTTGACACTGTTATTTTTTTCAAGGTTCTTTGCTTTTTTTTGAGTATCTTTGTAACATCATTTCTTGCTTTTACATCTAAACTTTTGGTTTTAAATGAATCAGGTTGGAAAATTTTATGAGCTTTATCACATGGATGCTGTGATTGGAGTTGCTGAACTTGGTCTTGTTTTTATGAAGGTTTTTTTGTTAATTACATAGTTTCTTTAATTACATGGTTTTTAATTTTTCATTTTTATAAATTTTGTGCTTGTTATTTATAAATATATTTCATATTGATAAATATACTTTATATTTATAAATATATTTTATGTTTATAAATATATTTTATATTTATAAATTTAATTCATGTTTATAAATATACTTCATATTTATAAATGTATTTTATATTTGTAAATATACTTTCTTTTTATAGAATATATTAAAAAAAGTGTATAAATATATAACTTAAATATATTATAGAAATGTTTAATGCTTTTATTTTTCTGTCAATAGGGCAAATTTGCTCATTGTGGATTTCCAGAAGTTGCATTTGGTCGCTACTCTGAAGTTCTCGTACAGAGAGGATATAAGTAGGTTCAAAAAACTTTTTAATTTTGATTTGTTCTTATAAACTTAAGTTATTTTTCCAGATAAGACAACCCCAGATTGCTTAGTTCAACTCTTGTGTGTGTGTGTATATATATATATATATATATATATATATATATATATATATATATATTACTGCTGGTTAAGTCTACACTTAGTATGAAAAATTGCGCAATAAAGGTGACATATATATAAAGGCGAAAAAATCGCGTCGCCTTTAATTTGCGAACATGAAACTTAGTTACCATGTTTTTAATCTATGTGGGATAGTTTTATTTTTTATACATTTTTAGAGGAAAATAAGCATTAAGTTTAGATCCGTATATGAATGAGAATGAAAAAAATAGCTATAAAAGCGACGTTAGTGTATATTTACGTGTATATTGCAAGTTAAAGGCGACGATTTTTTTAAGTTTTAGGATTTTAGAGGTCAAACATGTTTAAATTTATGATATAAAATATTAAACATGTTATTTTTATATTGTTTATTTTAAATACGTATTAAAAAATAAAAAAAACAGATTTTTTTTGTCGCCTTAAAATATCCTTTTAAACAGTGTCGACTTTGTGTGGTATCTAGCAGTATATATATATATATATATATATATTTATATATATATATATATATATATATATATATATATATATATATATATATATATATATATATATATATATATATATATATATATATATATACACACAAGGTATATACTTTGTGTATATCTTGTGTATATATATATACACAAGAGTTGAACTAAGCAATGTACCAAAAGGTTAATCAACAATTATTTTATTGTTTTTATTTTTCCATTTTTCAATATATTATTATTTTTATTTCTTTGCAATGTTTCTAAGCTATGTCAAGGCAGTTAAATTTTTATTCTGAAAAAAAAAAAACATTTTTGCAAACTGGCAAACTTTAAAAAACTTTTAAAACTCACTACATCTACCATGCTTACTTGAATAATTAATTATTTTTTTTACATTAATAATTGAATTAAAAATGCTTACAGGGTTGCAAGAGTTGAGCAAACTGAAACTCCTCAGGCAATGAATGAGCGTATGTTTCATTTTTGTTATTGCTTGTTCTTTTAATTTGTTCATTTCATTTATCATAATATTATTGTATTAATTTTTTTTTAAATTGTTTTTTTATAGGCTCTGCTAAAGTTGTCAGAAGAGAGGTTTGCGCTGTCATAAGCAAAGGTGAGAGTTTTTTGTGCAGTCATTTAGTTTTCTAAACCACTGTGCACCAATAGTTTTACTAAAAGTATTAACATCTAATAACCTACATATAAACTTTTAAGATTTCATTTCTCAATTTTTGGTTCAAAAAATGTAATCAGAGGTCAATTTTACAATTACCAAGGTGCATCAGGTTCATAGGTAAAGTGTGTGTTGGTGTCATTCTTGAAAAAATGATTTATGGAAAATAAATAGCTTGTTTTGTTGTTGTTGTGAGTTTCAGTTAGATCAACTTGTTTCTCTGAATAGCGGCCTTGTTCCTCAAGGTTTGTGTTTTGAAGTTATAGTGTTAAAAAAGGGTTGTAAACACAATTAAAGTAGCCTCCTCGACTGTAGAGGTCTTCTCCATCTTCGGTAGGTGAATTGAAATTTAACAAAAAGGTATAAATTACAACATAGATAAGGTTTGGGTTATGGTTGAATAAAATAATTGCATGGGTCTGAAGAAACTGCAAGGTTTTTTTCGGCCTTAAAAATAAAAACTCGAGTTCTGACCCACAAATAGTTACCAATAAAAATAGTTTGTAATAAAGAAATTTAATGTTATATTTTTACAAATAACATGTTGAAAACATCTTATTTGTGATCAAAGAAATTAACGAATACTTATCGTACAGTTTATATTGAGAAAAAAATTAAATTTACCAAAGGATTGAAAAATATGATCAAGTAACAGTAACAATAGTAAAGTTTAGCAGTCTTTCAAAAATGAATTGAGAACAAAAAAGATAAAACCAAAACCACTATAAAACTAATTTTCTTTTTTTGTATTTTAGTTTAAAATATAATACATGTTGCATAGCTAACAGTTGCATAGGTGAGAGTTACATAGGTGAGAGTTGCATAGCTGACTACATGGCTTTGAAAATTAACTAATTTTTAACCTGAATTTTAAAATTTTTATAAATATAATTTGAAAAAAATTATTGTTATTGAAGGAAAAAAGAGATTATACGATATATAAACAATTTTAAAAAAAAGTTCAAAGTTAAAACTTTTAAAAAAAGCTTATGTTGCCTAGATGACAACTTTTTTTTATTTCTACTTTTATCAAATTTGCTCGTCATTATTATTTTTTTTTTTTGAATAATAAAAAATAATTAAAATTTCTAAGTGAAGAAAGAAAAAAAAGAGCTTTTATAAAATGAATTCAGAACAAAAACAAAGATTTTAAAGTAAAGTGTGTAGTAAAAAGTAATAATATTTTAGACATCACGCGTGTAACACAGATAACATGTTGAAAACATGTTATTTGATAACAAAATGTTGAAACTTTAAGTATTTTCATTTTTTTAAAAGTGCCTTGAAAGTAAACTTTTAGGTTATTAATTACATTTAAAGTAAGAAATGTATTCATTTTAGGTTATTGCTTTTTATTAACTTGAAAGTGAAAAATATATTTATTTTATTTACTTTTAAATACCTTAAGTATTTAAAAGTAAAAGATATATTTTAAATTAAAAATATATTTTAAAAGTAAAAGATATATTATGTTAAATAATATTTTCAGATAAAATTAAATTTACATTTAGTGTTTTATTAGAATTTAAATTACAAAAGTATTTCAAATCATTCATTGTTTCTTTCTAATCACAGTATTCAAGTCAACTTAGTGGATAACACTTTTTTTCATTTTTACTAACTTTACAAGTACCAGATGGTTCCAGTCTTAGTCCTAACATTCTGTTAAATAGTTTTACATCTAAAATAACTCTATTTGCTGATGATCCAACTATCTATTTTAGCCTAAACAAAAAATTATCACTTAGATTGCTGAGAACAGGTAGTCCATCTTGAATGTTATCTCTCCTCTGTCAAAGTTTTTTATTTACTGCTAATCGTTGTAGCAATGTTAACATTTCTATATTGAAAAAGCAACAATCAAAAAAATTTGTCCTTTACTTTTCATTTGTTACTTTGTTATTTCAAATCTTATTGGCACTTGCTAAAGTTGTTCTTTGTATCATTATTTTACTCCTAAATTTAATGCTCTATTTAATTCTCTACTTCTGCAAATCTATTAATCTTCCTTGAAACATTGTGTTTTATTTAATATAAGCAATTTCTGATCACATTTACAACGTGTGTTGTGCACACAATATTTATTCAACATTTACAACGTGTGTTGTGCACACAATATTTATTCAACATTTACAACGTGCACAACATGTTGTAAAGATTTAACTGACTATATAAAGCATTTAGCTCTTTTTTTTTCTTTCTTGACATTTTAATTATTTTTTATTATTCAAAGATAAAAAAAGCAATGACAAGCAAATTTGATATAAGTAGAAACAAAAAAAAGTTGTCATCTAGGCAACATAAGCTTTTTTTTTAAACTTTGAACTTTTTTTAAAAATTGTTTATATATTGTATAATCTTTTTTTTTCTTCAATAACAATAATTTTTTTCAAATAATATTTATAAAAAATTTTAAAATTTGATAATTCAGATCAAAAATTAGTTTTTTTTAAAAGCCAAGTAGTCAGCTAAGCAACTGTCAGCTATGCAACTATCAACTATGCAACTGTCAGCTATGCAACTGTCACCTATGCAACTGTTAGCTATGCAGCATGTATTATATTTTAAACTAAAATACAAAAAAAAAAAAAAATAGTTTTATAGTGGCTTTGGCTCCATCTTTTTTTCTTAGTGGCTCTGATCCATCCAAAACTTTTTTTATACAAAATTTTGATTGATGTGTAAACATACTTATTTTTAAATTGAGATATTGGATTGTCACTAAAACATTTCTGTAACAACTTCTGTAACATTGTCTAATAGATAATTTTATTTATGTTGCATTGATTTTGTATGATCATTTGTATCAGCAACTTTTTTTAGAGTTTTTAGAGATTTAACGTTGTCAAATTGCGCATGTAAATATAAAACATATCAGCATATATATGCTGATAGAAATTCTATTTTGACCAAAATAAAGTTGGTGCATGCTTTTTTTTATCAATTGAAACACAAGCTTATTTTGACCAAAATAAGCTTGCATTTTAATTTAGAAAAAAAAAGGCATAATTTTCTGCCCCTTCAGCTTGAATAATAGTTTAAATGAAGTCTATTTGTATATTAAATTTAAATACAGACAATTGACTTCTTTCAACAGTAAATTCTTTTTGTCAAATCCCTTTTCCAACACTGTCTATCCATCTCTACTAACTCGTAAAGTTAGTAGAGATGAAGTACATACAATGTTGGAATTAGGGTAGGGTTAGGTACCTACTTAAAAAGCTATAAACAACTTGTTCTTTTTTGTTTTTAGAAGTTATAGACTATTTTTCATAAGAAACTTTAAAAAATCACTTTCTTAAATATGCCAATAGTAAATTATAATTTTCATATTTATATTTTGTTACTTAGTTTATTTGGTTATTACAAATATTAATGTCAAAAACTAGAAAAAATCAATATGTATTATAACTATTAAACACCATCAGCAAATAAAATAAGTGTAAAGTATAAATATTAATATCTATATAAGGTTAGCTATGAAATTTATATGGTGCTATATTTGTCAGGATATATTTTTAATTAGAAATTTGTCTAAAGTTTTGCATTAATATTACAAACACATATATAAATAAAGACTGAGAGTTTTTTTATTATTTTTATTTATTCAGTTTATGTTAATTATTATATTTTTCAAATTAAGTTGATAAATCTTTTTTTTTTTTTTGCACTTGTAGGTACACGCACATTTAGCTTTATTGAAGGTCATTCAGAAGAAAGCTCTACAGCATTTTTGTTAGCATTTACTGAAAGAGTATGTTTTAGTATTGTAATAATTTTACAACTTTGATAATGATTAATCATTATCAACAACAGCAACTATAGTAACAGTATAATCTTTTAAAATTTTTTATTAAATTTGTTTATTCTTTTACATTTTTTTTACAGCCTTGTGATACTAGTAGTCCAGGTTGCTTAGGTGGCAGTGAATTTGGTGTTTGTTTTGTTGACACATCCACAGCAAAGTTTTATGTAACTTTACATTTTTTATACTACATTTGTTTTTTCTAAGTTATATCTTACTTACATTGTTATATACAACATTTGTTGCTCTAGGTTATAGCTTATTTACATTGTTTTATTCTGCATTTGTTATTCTTTTTTTTTATCAATTATGAACTGCTGGTTTATAATTATTTTTGTCAAATGAAGTTTTTGTAGTCTGAACCAAATTTCAGTATTTTATTTTAATTTAAAATGTATTTAGCTCGGTCAGTTTACAGATGATCGCCAATGTTCAAGATTTCTTACCATGATCTCTCAGTATCCGCCTGCTCAGGTTTTTTATACTTTTAATTATCTATATAAGTTTTATATAGATCTTGTAATAATTTTGAGTGGTAACTTTTACAAAGTTTATTCTAATTAAATAAATTTTAAGATTAATTTAAAATTATTTAAATGGGTAATAAAATAGTGTTTTAACTCCCACTTTCTT